TCACAGGCCCAGCCGCTCCGCGGCATGTGGGATCTTCCCGGACCAGGGCACGAACCTGTGTCCCCTGCATCGGCAGGTGGACTCTCAACCACTGCGCCACCAGGGAAGCCTGACAATGAATTTTTTTAAAAATGAAGACATGGGAATTCCCTGGCGGTCCAGTGGTTAGGACTTGGCGCTTTCATTGCCATGGTCACAGAACTAAGATCCCGCAAGCTGTGCGGTGGGGGAAAAAATTAAAAAGATAAAAAATGAAGACAGTTTTATTTCTTGCTTTCCAGTCTGTATGACTTTTATTTCTATTTTGGCTTTATTGTACTGCCTAGGGCCTCCAGTAAGTTTTTGAAAAGGAGTGATGAGGGCAGATATTCTTACCCTGTTCCTGATCTTATGGGGAACATACACAGTCTTTTATCATTAAGTATGATGTTAGCTGTAGATTCTTTTTAGATGCATTTTACTGGGTTGAGGAAGTTTCAATTCATAGTTTGCTGAGAGCTTATTTCATGAATAGATGTTAAATTTTGTCAAATAACTATTTCTGCATCTAGATGATCATATGGTTTTTCTTCCTTAGAACAATTGATTTGATGAGTTATGTTTATTGATTTTAATATTGAATCAGCCTTTCATGTCCCTAGATAAACCCCACTTGATCATGATGTGTAACCTTTTTACATATTGCTAGATTTGATTTGCTAACATTTTGTTACATTTTCTTGCATGTGTTCATTACCAATACTCGTTTGTAATTTTGTCTTTTTTTTATCTTGATGTTAGGGCCTCATCAAATGAGTTGGGAACTGTTTCTTTCTATTTTATTTTCTGGAAAGATTTGTGTAAAAATAGTATTTTGGTAGAATTCACCAATTCTAAAGCCATTTTGGCCTGGAGTTTTATTTATTGGGAGAGTTTTTAAACATAACTAAATTTTTCTTTAATGGGTAGAGGAGTTTTTAGATTATCTACTTCATCTTAAGCAAGTTTTTATACTGTGTCTTTCCAGAAATTTGTCCATTTCAATGAAGTGGTTGGATTTATAGGCATAGATTTTTTAGTATATTTTTCTTATTATTCTTTAATATCTGTTGCATCTCTAGTATTGTTCCCTCTTTCTTTCCTGAAATTGATTATTTGTGGTCTCTCTTTTTTTATCTTGATCAGTCTGGCTATATGTTTATGAATTATATTAATCTTTGCAAAGAGCCTGCTTTGGATTTTATTGGTTTTCTCTTTTTCTGTTTTTCAATTTCATCAATTTCTGTTCATATTGATATTGCTTCCTCCCTTTTGTTTACTTTGAGTTTAATTTACTCTTCTTTTTCTTCTTTCTTAAGATGGATGTTTATATAGTTCTTTTTGCTTAATATGAGCATTTAATTATATAAGTTTCCCAAGAACACCTTTAGCTCCATTCCATAAATTTTGGTGCTGTGTTTTCATTATCATTCAATCAAAGTATTCTAATGGCCTATGTGACTTCCTCTTTAACCTGTAGGTTATTTAGAATTGTTTTGCTTAATTTTTGAATATTTAGGCATTTTCCAGATGTTTTTCTGTTACTGATTTCTGGTTAATTTCATTGTGGTAAGAGAACATACTTTATATAAATTTTAGGCTTTTGTTTTTAATTTGTTAAGGTTGGTTTTATAGCTCAGAATATGGTTTATATTAGATTCTGTTCCATGTGTGCTTGAAGAGAATATATTGCTCTTGTTGGGTGGAGTGTTCTGTAAATGTCAGTTTGATTGATAGGCTTCTATCAATCAGCTGTTCTATATCTTTACTGATTTTTGTCTGCTTGTTTCTTCACTCACAGAGAGAGAAGTGTTGAAGTCCCCAGTTGTAATTGTGGATTTGTCTATTTCTCTTTTTATTTCAATGCTTTTGCATCATTTATTTCAACACACTTTTTTGGTGCATAAATATTTAGGATTATTTCATGCTTTTGGAAAATTGATTCCTTCATTGTCATGTAACATCCTTTCTTTAAACCTGACAGTTTTCTTTGCTTTGAAGTCTATTTCAATAATAATGTAGCTTTCTTCTGATTAGTGTTTGCATTTGTTTTTTTTTGCGGTACGCGGGCCACTCACTGTTGTGGCCTCTTCCATTGCGGAGCACAGGCTCCGGACACGCAGGCTCAGTGGCCATGGCTCATGGGTCCAGCCGCCCCACGGCACGTGGGATCTTCTTGGACCGGGGCATGAACCCATGTCCCCTGCATCGGCAGGCGGACTCTCAACCACTGCACCATCAGGGAAGCCCTGCCCATTTTTTAATCAGATTTTTTTTTTTTTTTTTTTGCCTTTGGGGTATATGAGTTCTTTGTATATTTGAGTTATTAACCCCTTAACAGATACATGATTTGCAAATATTTTCTCTCATTCTGTAGGTTGCCTTTTCATTTTGTTGGCCTTTTCCTTTGCTGTGAAGAAGCTTTTTAGTATGTTATAGTCCCACTTGTTTATTTTTTTTTGACTTTATTTCCAAAATGATTTCCAAAAAATTGCCAAGACTGATGTCAAGAGCTTACTGCCAGTTTTCTTCTAGGAGTTTTATGGTTTTAGGTCTTACATTCATGTCTGTAACCCATTTTGAGTTAATTTTTTTGTATGGTGTAAGATAGTGGTCTAGTTCCATTCTTTTGCATGTGGCTGTCCAGTTTTTCCAATACCATTTATAGAAGAGACTGTTCTTTCCTTATTGTATATTCTTGGCTCCTTTTTATAAATTAATTGACCATATATGAATGGGTTTATTTCTGGGCTCTCTATTCTGTTCCATCAATCTATGTGTCTATTTTTATGCCAGTACCACTGTTTTGATTACTGTGGCTTTGTAATATAGTTTTAAATCAGGAAGTGTGCTGCCGCTACCTTTTTTCTTCTTTTTCAAGACTGCTTTGCTATTTGGGGCCTTTTGTGGTTCCATACAAATTTAGGATTGTTTTATTTCTGTGAAAAATGCCACTGAAATTTTGATAAGGACTGAATTGAATCTGTAGATTGCTTTTGGTAGTATGGCCTTTTAAACAATATTATATGGGTACATGTGGAATATTCCAACCAAAAGCAACAAAATACGCACACTTCTCAAGTGTCCACGGAGCATTCTCCAGGCTATATTTTATGTTAACCCACAAAACACTTCTGAGAGGGAAGTTGCTAGCAGTAAATTCTTACGTCAAGAAACGAAAAAAATCTTAAACAACCTAACTTTATTTATTTATTTATTTTTACATCTTTATTGGAGTATAATTGCTTTACAATGGTGTGTTAGTTTCTGCTTTGTAACAAAGTGAATCAGTTATACATATACATATGTTCCCATATCTCTTCCCTCTTGCGTCGTCTCCTTCCCTCCCACCCTCCCTATCCCACCCCTCCAGGCGGTCACAAAGCACCGAGCTGATCTCCCTGTGCTATTTGGCTGCTTCCCACTAGCTATCTACCTTACATTTGGTAGTGTATATATGTCCATGCCTCTCTCTTGCTTTGTCCCAGCTTACCCTTCCCCCTCCCCATATCCTCAAGTCCATTCTCTAGTAGGCCTGTGTCTTTATCCCTGTCTTACCCCTAGGTTCTTCATGACATTTGTTTTTCTTAAATTCCATATATATGTTAAACAACCTAACTTTGTTCCTAAAGTAACTAGAAAAATAGATAAAGTCCAAAGTTAGAAGAAGGAAGGAAATAACAAAGTTCAGATTGGAAATAATTGAAATAGGAACTGAAAAGACAACAGGCAAGATCAATGAATCTCAGAACTGGTTATTTGTAAAGATAAACAAAATTGTCAGACCTTTAGCTAGAATCACCAAGAAAAAAGGGAACTCAAATAAATCAAATCAGAAATGAAAAAGGAGACTTTGCAACAGATACCACAGAAATACAAAGGATTTTAAGAGACTTCGATGGACAATTTTATGCCAACACGTTTGACAACCTATAAGAAATGGGTAAATTCCTAGAAACATACACCCTACAAAGACTGAATCATGAAGAAGTAAAAATCTGAAAGTTCACTTACTAGTAAGGAGATTGAATTAGCAATCAAAAATCTCCCAACAAACAAAAGTCCAGGACCAGACAGCTTCACTGGTAAATTCTACCAAACATTCAAAGAAGAACTAATACCAATCCTTCTCAAACTCTTCCAAAAAAAAACGAATACCAATCCTTCTTAGACTCTTCAAGAGGAGGGAATGCTTCCAAACTCATTTTATGAGGCCAGCATTACTCTGCTACCAAACCAGACAGGGATACCACAAGAAAAGAAAATTACAGGCCATTATCCCTGATGAACATAGATGCAAAAGTCCTCAACAAAATATTAGTAAACTGAATTCAACAATACATCAAAAGGACCATTCACCATGATCAAGTGGGGTTTATTCCAGGCATGCAAGAATGGTTCGATTTCCTCAAATCAATCAATATGATACAGCACATTAATAAAATGAAGGATAAAAATCATATGACCATCTCAATAGATGCAGAAAAAGCATTTCACACAATGATATGATAAAAACTCTCAACAAAGTGGGTATAGAGGGAAAGTTTCTCAACATAATAAAGGCCATATATGATAAATCCACAGCTAACGTTATACTCAGTGGTGAAAACTGAAAGCTTTCCCTCTAAGATCAGGATCAATACAAGGATGCCCACTGTTGCCACTTTTATTCAACATAGTGTTGGAAGTCCTAGCCAGAGCAATCAGATAAGGAAAAGAAATAAAAGGAATCCAAATTGAAAAGGAAGAAGTAAAACTGTTAATGTTTGCAGATGACATTTCTTAAAAGCTTTAAGAATCTACTATTATTCTGAGCTGTACACTGTTCTCTAGAAATGCTATGTAATTAAATAACATATGAGAGTAATATCTGAGATTGAGGCTTATCAGCTATACACTTAGCCACACACCCCCTTATTTCATTAAATAAACCTTAGATAATGAGTAAAAAATTAAGATTTTATTTTCTTTTCTACTTTTAGTGTTAAATGTTCACAAAAGACCGTGAAGGATTCTTATCACATAATGTGTAGACCATGTGCCTGTGATCTTGAAGTTTGTGCCAAATGTGGAAAGAGAGAAGATGTTATTCCGTGAGTATTTCTTTTTATGTTTGGGATTTACTCTTTTAATTAATATGTGAATTTTCTTTTAAGGAAACATTCAGCTGCTCTGAGAGTCTTAAGATGCAGAATGTCACACTAATGTCACACTAATGTCTACCCAACAGGAAGAACATCTTAATTAATTGTTAAATATTTCTATCATTATAATAAAAGTGAAACATCATTTTTAGAAAGTTAAAATATTTATGAGGTTCACACTTATTACACATTACAAAAGAATTACTCATTATATAACTTCTTCTCTTTAATGGACATCATGTGTTAATTTCTTTGATCATACTTTATTGACAACTGTATTATAATTGGTTGGCTCTTGAGTTAAGTTAATCTTCAGGGATCTTTTCCTCTTTATTTCATTAGACTCCTATTAATCAAGAAATGTAGTGTAAAAGTCTTTTCAGTCTACACAGTTAAACAATGAAATCCTGAGAAATAAAGTTTTTTTCTTCCATCTTTAGGTTTAATATAGAACCAGAAAAGACAGAAAATGTTGAAAATAACGTTCCAGCCACAGAAGAAGCTGCAGAAGAAATGAAGAAAGTGATGATTTAGATTTTGATATTGATTTAGATGACACAGAAGAAGACAATCAGATGGATTGATATAACTATATTAAAAGACAGTTTGGAAGCATGAAATTCTGAACAACTTTGATTTTGAGGGTTTAAAGAAAAATACTGTGGAATACTAGTAAGGACATTGGAAAAACATAGAGAAAATACATGGACAATATGCATTGTGTATGATATTTGAATAGTGATAAAACTTTCATCCAGAGTTTTCTTATAATACATTTTTAAGTAGCATATGCTAGTATATCTGCCAAAATGAGTATTGGAGTATCGTATTGCAGTTCATGGGAATTATTTAGAAGAATATACTATCTAGTATCAAATTAAGCAAGATTCAGAATTGATGCTTATATAGAAACTATCTCATGGAAAAATCAGATGACATTATTATGTTGCTAGCCTCAAAAATTGGTCCTCAGGAGGTACCTTTTGATAGATTGATCTCAGGTTAATGTCCCACGTAACAAAAGCCCTCTTGCTTACGCTTGCTTGTTGTAAAGCAAAAAGTTTGTTTTTTAATAATAATGTTTAACAAGTATATAGCAGTTTTTCTTTGAAAATGTTTTTATGTATCTTATCACGTTATTTTTAACTTTTTTCGCTTATGAAATTTACATACAGAAAAAAATGCATAAAATCTATATGTAGAGTTTAACACATAAAGAAAAATCATACATTTATCACCCACGTGAATAAAACACTCCTAAACAATATAAGTTAGCTTTGTCTGATTTTTGAACATTTTTTTCTATCTTTTTGTTTTGAAAAATCTCAAACCTCAAGAAAAGTAGCAGTGTAGTACAGTGAACCTTTGTATGCTCTTCACTTAGATTCACAATTGTTAACATTTTGCCACATTTTCTTTATATTTGAATAGATATATGGATATATTTTTTATTTGCTGAACCATTTGAAAATAAGTGGCAGGCATTGGTTTCAAACTTTATATGAACAGACTTATACTATGCATGTTAATTTGTATCTCTTCTTATTTCATTATTATGAAACTTGTGAAATTGATCCATGTTGTTGCAAGAGCTCTAATTTGTTAAGATTACATTTTTATTCTACATTTTTCCTCTCTAATACTGAGGGACATTTGAGTTATTTCAGAATTTTCCTATAACAAACAATACTAAGTGTTTCTTGGTATAAGTGTCTTATTTCTTGGTATATTTTCTGTTAGGTATGTAATAGAAGAAGATTGAAATGTTTCCTGGTGTACTTCTCTTGTTTCTTGCTACAGTTTCTGTTAGGTGTGTCTAGCAGTGGTAGAAGGCATCAGGTATATATGCATCTTCACTATTACTATGTACTATGTAATGCTGTCTTTCCAGAAGGATTGTTATCTCCCTTCCCCATAGCAATGTATTAGAGTTCCTGTGCTCTGCATCCTTTCCAACACTTGGTATCATACTTTTAAATTTGTCAGATATGTGTGCAACATATGTCTTTGTCATATTAATTTGTATTTCTCTAATTACTAATGAGCTTGAGCCCCCTTTAATGTTTATTGACCATTGGTTTTTGGGTAATAGATGATATTAAGGAATCATTTTGCTTAGGTGTAATAATGTTATTTGAGAGATACATATTGAAATATTAAAGGGTGTATAGTCAACTTACTTTAAAATATTTTAAGCATAAAAAAGTAGAGATACAGGGCTTCCCTGGTGGCGCAGTGGTTGAGAGTCCGCCTGCCGATGTAGGGGACGCGGGTTCGTGCCCCGGTCTGGGAAGATCCCACATGCTGCGGAGCGGCTAGGCCCGTGAGCCATGGCCGCTGAGCCTGCGCGTCCGGAGCCTGTGCTCCGCAACGGGAGAGGCCACAACAGTGAGAGGCCCGCGTACCGCAAAAAATAAATAAATATAAATAAATAAATAAATGGAGAGAGATATCATGTTTATGATATAGAAACCTCTAAGTTTACAGTCTACAGAAAGTTTTTCTACCGTAAATTTGTGTGGCTTACCTTTTTGTTTGTAAATTTGTTTTCTGAACTATGTAATCTTTGTGGTTAATGAGCCAGCTTAATTATTATTAGACCTAGCATAAATTCTTCCCCATCTGAGTGAGTTATAATTCCTCAGGTTACCTTACCAGGAGAGAAATTTAATGAAGAGCATCACCTAGTGACATGTACTAATATCTGCATTTCATTCTCAGTGCTAAGAGAGATTTTGTTTTTTCAACAGACTGAACTTTGTTATATTTAGTTTATTTACATATCTTTAGGTCTTATCCTTTCTAATCTAAAAATTATTTTTATTGGAACTCAGCATGGATCTAAGTCCTGGCTCTGCCAGTTACTAGCTGTGTGACTTGGTACAAATTAATTAATATTTCTGTGCCAACTATGAGTGCACTAAATAACTGATATTATTATTGCTACTGTGATTTTGTGTGTATATATATATTAGTAATGAGTTAGTAATTATTAACTGGAAATGAAGTAATTAGTAATTATTAGTAATGAAGATGTCAATTTGGTTGTTTGCCTATGTTCTTCAGAAGAACATATATATGTGTTTATATATGGAATGCAGAATGTTAGAAGGTGAAAAGTTCTGTGGGAAAAAAAATAAGGCATGGTAGGGTGATTGGGAGTCTAAGGGTATGGATGGGGTGGGAATGAGGGTGCACAAGGGGATGGGAAGTGGTCTTTTTAAATAAGGTGCCTAGAGAGACATGTTGGGGAAGAATGTTCCAGGCAGAGGAAACAGCCACTACAAGGCCTCTAAAGCAAGACTGTGCCAGGTGTGTTCAAGGGACAGCAAGGAAGGGAGTGATTAAGTTGGAGAGTTGAAAGAGATAAGATCGGGAAGGTAATGGAAGGTCAGATGATGTGAAACCTGCTTTTAAGATGTTTTTTGTTTATCTTTGGTTTTCAGCCATTTGACTGATTTCTAAGGTATGAATTTCTTATTTATGCTACTTAAGGTTTTCTGAGTTTCTCATATCTGTTGGTCAATGTCCTTGAAGAGATTTGGAAAGTCGTTAGCCATTATTTCTTCAAATATGCTTTTTCCTATTCTTTCCTCTCCTTCTAGCACTCCCATTCTATATACATAGGAGTGTGTCCCACATCTTTCTCATGCTCTGCTTTCTTTTTTCTATATGTTTTTTCCTTTTTGTGTTTGTTTGTTTGTGTGTTTTCTATTGGCCTTTCTTTGCATTCGTAATTCTGTCTTCTGTATAAACAGGAGTAATGTGTTCAGTATGCTTTTATTTTTTAAATTTTATTGAAGTGTAGTTGATTTACACTGTTAATTTATGCTGTACAGCAAAGTGACTCAGTTATATATATTCTTTTTCATATTCTTTTCCATTATAGTTTACTACAGGATATTGAGTATAATTCCCTGTGAAAAGGGCGTGTATTTATTTATATATTTATATTTATTTGTTTATTTTGGCCATGAGGCTCATGGGATCCCAGTTCCCCAACCAGTGATCAAACCTGTGCCCCCTGCTGTGGAAGCACGGAGTCTCAACCACTGGACCACCAGCCAGGCAATTCCTACTAGTATGCTTTTAAACCCATCTAATACATTCTTAATTTCAGATACTGAATTTTGCAGTTCTAAAATGTTCATTTGATTCTTTTTTTTAAATAGATTTATCTCTGTTGAAATATTCTGTGCTACCTATCTTGTACATTTTTTCTCTATGTTTTTAATGTATTAATTACAGTTATTTTGAAGTTCTTGTTCACTTTTGTTTGCTTTTACTAATTATTTTATCTCTTGATTGTTGGTCACTACCCCCAGCTTTGCATATCTAATAACTTTTATTGTATGCTAGAAATTGTGGATGATACATTATAGAGACTTCCTCTGAAAAATAAATTACTGCAGATCACCTTGATCCTGTCAAAACTTGGGTTTAGGCTTGGGGTGGTCTATTTCAGTTTCACACTTATTCCTGGCTCTTACTCCTTGAGTATTGTTTTTATTCCTAAGCATGTATTTTCTGAGGTCTTAATGCCACTGGTGTTCACCAAGGAATCTCCCCTCTGGGTAAGCCCAAACTGCAACACTGGGTGACCTCTGAAGTCTCTGCCTACCTCTCAGCCTCACAGCAGCTGTTCTCTGCTAGGACTCCTGGAGTTGTGCCCTGCATGTATGCAGTTTAGGAGACTAAGGAGTGACCAGAGAAGTAGAAGGAGAACCAAGAAAGGGTGTCCTGAAAGGCAACAGGCACACATATTGAGTGCTTACTGTATTCTGACAGTGCTCTAAACTAAGCCCTTTACATGATAAACTCCTTGAATGTATATCATGGCCCTGCATAGTGATAACTATCGTTATCCACATTTACAGATGAGAAACTGAGATTAAATAAATTGACATACATCCACAAAGTGTTTAGGTCCAGGTTTTGAACCTACATGATCATCTGATCCCACACCCCATTCTGCCTATTAGTATGCTTAAGAAAAATATGTGAGTTGCTGACTGGATAACTCCACTATTTTTCATACTACTATTCCAGGGCTCTGTTGACAGTCATTTCCACTGCCACACTTTCATATTTCTTTATTTGAGAAAATTTAGAGCTTTGCTCTCTTTTTTTCTGAAGAACTGTCCCAGGCATCACTGGAGAGCTTAAGTTTTTAGCCACTGCTGATATACCTGAATTCAAGTCACTTTTTTTGTACTCTCCTCCATGATTATTGATTTCCATATATGAATCATAATACCTGTGATCTTCCTAATTAGTGATTTCATGTTATTGTGAGACCTACTTGCATAATGGAAGGAATATAGGTGTTTGCAAACAATTCTGGATATATCTAGTAGCTGTATTGGGAAGGTAAGTTGTAGTGATTATCTCCTAATATGGTAATAATTATTAGGAGAGTAAAAAGTTGTTATATGTACTTGGTGCTTATATATATTTTTTCATTGTAAAAGATAAACAGCAATAGTCTTAGTGTTCTCCATTTTTCAGGTGACTTACCTAAAGCTCGAGGTTAAGTAACTTGCCAAAGTCAAAAAGATAATAAGTAAAAAACCTGAGGTTCAAACCAAGTCTATGTGGCTCCAAAGCCTATATTATTTCAACCACATTTGTGCAAAATTACAAATATTCCATGTTCCTAAACGCTTTTCTTCTTAAGTGAAATGTGTAATAACATTAACCTGAACACACCTCTATCCTTTCCTTATGTCCCTCTTTCTAGGTCTTTTCCCTCTCTCGTAACATTAGTCCTGTACTGAATGATTGCCCTGTTTAAAAGCTACATTTTTTAAAAAATAAAAAGATTATAGATATCCTCCATATAACTTGTGGCATAGAATTTTTGTCACTCATTATTTTCAAATTTGTCAGTAATGTTAAATGTTGCAAGGTCGTTTTGCACAATTTTTACTGGCAAACTTATGGAGTCAGGGGAGTACGTTGGGATTACTTAGCTTTATGCTAATGAGCTGCACAATTTCATCAACAACTGTGGAAAAAATTATGCATCCCCAAATCTCTTAAATAAGACTAATTTTTAAGGAATTAAAGTACCAGGCTTTCAAAAGATATCATTACATAAAACTACACATAAGGTTACATCAGTTACTTCTATATAATCTTAAAAGTAAAAAAAATTTTATAATCTTAAAAATGTTTCCTTTCAAATCAAATAGTTTGCATTATAAAATGTATAGTTGGTACTTGATGCTAATATGGAGGGTTTTAAAAAATATATTGGATATAAAATTACAAACAGTACCTTAGTGTTCAAAAGTTGACTAAGTGATACAATATTCCATCAAAATTTGGTTTAGAAGTTTCTGTAACCTCCAGAAATATTAATTTGTAGTATATAAATTAAATACAAATATTCAATATTTATATTATATTATTTAAATAATATTTAAAAATAACTTTTCTATTTTCTAAGGCAAATCAAATGTCTTTGAATTGAACATAAACATTAATTTGTAATTAACATTTTAAAATTATACATTATCCATGGATGGACCTCACAGATAATGATGAACAAAAGAATCCAAACACAAGATTATATATTTTATGATTCCATTTGTATGAAGTTCAGAAATAATCAAAACTGGGAATTCCCTGGTGGTCCGGCGGTTAGGACTCAGAGCTTTCACTGCCAGGGTGCAGGTTCAATCCCTGGTTGGCGAATTAAGATGACACAGGCCGTCCGGCGTGGCCAAAAATAAAAAACCCCAAAATAACAAACAAAACCAAACAGAACAAAAATAGTCAAAACTAATGATGATAGACATCAGAATAGTGGCTACCTTTGAGAGTGTGGTATTGACTAGGAAGGGACACAATGGAAACTTCTGGGGTGCTGGAATTGCCCTTATCCTGATCTAAGGATAGTTACAGAAGTATCTAAAAATATAAAATTTAACAGGATTTGTTCACTTTATTGTATCTAAATTTTATCTGAATTCAAAAGTAATTATAGTACTTAATTTAAAAAAATTAATAGATACCATTAGCAAATCCATTCCTTGAAATAAAGCAATGTGGATTTTGGTGTCAGGAAGAGTAGCAGGCAGAGAGACTTGGAGGCAGAAAGATCTGTTTGAACCCTAACCCTGCTCCTTCACTAGCTTTGTGACCCTGGGCCAATTTCCTTGTGAAGTTACCTTCTGTGCACTTTACCTAGTTGTAAAATGAAGACTGATTTCTACAGTATAAGAT